TTGGAGGGTTGCCAGCGGACGGGATATTCCGGACCGTGTAATCGCACCAATGTATTTGTGCATAATGGCGGAGAGTCAGGCTGCAGTGTCTCCTTAATGATGTTAATAAGACGCTCATCCTCCATAGGATCCGAGCCAGGTGTGGCGACATGTCTAGAGACATTTCGGCTGGCACCGGTCACCTATGCCTCCTCCCTCCTCCGGTCTTCTTGACTTGGTCACGACAGCGGACCAAGGTAGGGAAGGAACACGAACTGAGTTTAACTCACACACAATTCACCGTCCCTACACCAGGTTGCTGTGGGACGCATGGTGGACGTGATCGGAGCTAACGGTCAAAATGTACTAAGACTGACGATATTAGATCACTGTTTACTGGGAACTATCCTTAAAGTTATGGAAACCGACTTCGTCATAGATGAGACAGTCCGCACAATGAGGATATCTCGGCCCATTCATGAAGTGGGTAGGGCACGTTCTTCATCGTCTGCTTCATTAGATCAGTCTTGCTGCCCCGAGGTGGCGCCGCTGCCTACCCGGAGGTCGACTCCTCACTGCTTGTCAACATCAAGAAGTTGATCTTGGACCTTCTACTTTCGGCCTCTATCGCTGAAGAAAAGCGTTTGTCGGCTGCCTATATGGAACACTAGAAGATGCATGTGAGAGGATAAAGCTGGGCTTGTTTCATGTTGACGTTTCTAAGAACTTGGCCGGCTCTCCGTTGTCAAAGCGTCGACGGTCACTATCGGTCATCGCCTACATTAACATAAACTAGCGGTTCAATGGCCAGACCCGAGCTCACAGCTTGCAATTAATATTGGATAAATTGGCTATACCTTCAATGTTCAAGGAGCGACCATCTTAAGCCGAGGCATGTCAAAAGCGAAGGGACTGACGCTTGAGGTATGGTATTCAGGTACCCAGTCTATTAACAGGCATCTAGGCCTTCCTATGGCCTACAAAATCCCGTGAGGCTATGTGAAGAAAAGCAAGCCGGAGAAATGC